TGTTATGTCAGAGTGATGGGACATAGGGTCATTTCACAGATGACACATTTCAACCTTTTTAAGCTATGTGATAATGCACTGAATATTTAGAAATAGGAGCGTGTGCAGCTCTTCCTGTTCAAAATAAACTTATCTATGCTGTGCTGGAGGTGAGTGAATGTTTGAATTTGAAATACAATGTGATAATTCAGAAAAGATTTATACAGAACCCATTCAGGCTTAAAATCAGTGAAATATGTTTCCACACACGATCAGTAGAATTACTGATGAGGTTCCTACAATGAGGAAATTAAGGTCTTAATTAAGGTCCAATTCCAATGTTTTCCTTTTTTCTAAATTGAGATTTACATTTCCACTCTTTGTTTCACTGCAGCCATTTGATAAAATGAAAAAAGTTAATCTCATTTCTCATTAATCACACTCTGCACCCCGTCTTGACAAAAAAAAACTGAAATTTAGAAATTTTTGCAAATTTATTTAAAAAGATAAACTGAAATATCAAAAGGTCATAAGTATTCAGACCCTTTGCTGTGACGCTCATATTTAAATCACATGCCCTCCATTTCTTCTGATCCTCCTTGAGATGGTTCTGCTCCCTCATTGGAGTCCAGCTGTGTTTAATTAGACTGATTGGACTTGAATAGGAAATGCAAACACCTGTCTCTATAAGACCTTATAGTTCACAATGCATGTCAGAGCAAACAAGAATCATGAGGTCAAAGGAACTACCCAAGGAGCTCAGAGACAGAATTGTGGCAAAAAACAGATCTGGCCAAGGTTACAAAAGAATTTCTGCAGCACTCAAAGTTCCTAAGAGCACAGCGGCCTCCATAATCATTAAACTGAAGAAGACAATGACCCTAAGCACACAGCTAAAATAACAAAGGAGTGGCTTGGGAACCAGCCAGAGCTCTGACCTAAACACAATTGAGCATCTCTGGAAAGACCTGAAAATGGCTGTCCACCAACGCTCACCATTCAACCTGACAGAACTGGAGAGGATCTGCAAGGAAGAATGGCAGAGGATCCCCGAATCCAGGTGTGAAAAACTTGTTGCATCATTCCCAAAAGCACTCATGGCTGTACTAGCTCAAAAGGGTGCTTCTACTCAATACTGACCAAAGGGTCTGAATATGACGATGTGATATTTAAGTTTTTCTGAAAACTTTCCATACCCACTGTATGTACACAGTTTAAATCTCAAAACTCTCACCTTGGAAACACCTTTTTCAAGCCTTTTTCCCTTGTTCTCTATCGTTCCACTCCATACTTCTATGAAAAATGTGTATCACTCTGAATTAGTGGTTAACATGTGTCTTTCTTCTCCTGTAAATTCAATTATTGATGTAGCACATGCTTGCTCCCACACAAAGTAATTAGTAAGGAACATTAATCTCTCTAGACCAAAAAGATTATTTTTGATCTGTCACGTTTGCAAGACTACAGGATTTTTAAAAGATCCCCTTCACTCTCATATCCAATTTATATTAAAATGTTCTGTTACAGAATAAGCATAATCACATTGGAAAGTCTTTTTAGAATATGAATGAAGTCAGCATGGTGCATTTGGCATAGACAAACACATATGAAGCTTTCAACATTGAATTATTTGTGTGATGTTGCTGGAAATGTATTCCATCACACACACTCTCAGTCACTGAGTCATTAGAGTTAATTCAAAGATTACCATACTGATAGTTGAATTCCCCTGTGGATAACAGTGTGTCACAATCCCTATGATCCATGAATTACTTGAACTAAAACTCCTGATTTTATTCTAAACAAGCATCTGCTTTTTATCTCGCATGAGCGCACGTGGGAATAAAAGCACTAAAAATGGTAATTAAGTCAAGATCCAATATTTGCATTAAAGGTGAATAGTTTGTTCTCTTGGATTTATTCTATAGCTTCTATAACTGCACAGTTACAGGCAAGGTCTAGTGGAGTTACATTTGATTCAACCTGCCAGGTTTATTAAACTGATCCCAATAAAACTAATACAAAATCTTTCCGTTAACAACCATACCAACCTGCTCTGTGCTCTCAGTTACAGCTTGCACAGGACAGTTATTACTCATTAATAGCAACAATAAAGCTAACTCTGTGTGTCTGTCATCCTTTTTCTCACTGAGCTCTCTCCATCACTAGTAGTCATGCAGAGTTTTCTTTTTTCTTTATGACAATAACTCTTTTTTTTTTCTCCAAATCAATTTGTGATGGTAACAGTTTAATTCACTTTTTATAGCTCCATCAATCCATCCATTTTTACTGCTGCCTTTGGGGGGGGGCAGTGGGGGTGGGGGGTCAGTGGGTCCTATCGCCCTGATAAACAAGTTATCTGCCTATCACAAGGCCACAACCACGCACACTCCCTCTTGCTCTTAGAGTGCCAATTTACTTAACATGTATGTTTTGGATGGTGGAAGGTGGAGCCCAGAGAAAGCCCGCACATACACATACACAAGGACAACATGGCTCCAGCCAAACCAATGACCCTATTGCCGGGATGTGATTGATGCTAACCACCATACTATCATGCAGCCTCTATGCATTATATTAACATGATTTGTTTGATGGAAAAAGGAGAGTGTTATCTAGTTGTTGGTGTGGTACTTTGCACCACAAATCAAACAGTGTCGCACCGAGCAGGAAAACAAAAAAAAAGTGAAGTATTGGATCTCAGCCACTGCTCCAGGGTAGTTTCATGCCCATAAATGTACAAAGGCTGGGGCACTACCAAATGTGTAAGAAGCACATAGCTTCAAGATAAGAAATGTACTTTCTTTAACATGGCACTGGTGAATTTGACTTTTTCTGCTCCTACAGTTGAAGGATGGAATGCCACTGTAAAAAAAAAACACAACCATCAATCTGAGCCCGACACACGAACAACTATACTGTAGTTCTCATACTTAGAGAACTACAGCATCTATTTATGAAGATACCAAAAAATATCTAAGACGTGACAAAAAGAATATTGCATATGTACATATACTATGATATGTTATAAACACTAAAATACTAAGCAAAAATAATTATAGGTTATACTTTATCCATAGCATATTTTGCTTTTTTCTTACTATTTTCTTACTTGCGTGTGTCTGAAATTGATGAAAATGTAATATAATAGATTTAATAAATTACAATGTTATTGTATACCATATAGAATATAGCAGGGTATAACTGAAATCTTTCAAGATTTGAGTGTAAAATGTTTTAAAACTGAATTATATTATCATATTTGTGTGAAACCGAACAGAGGAAGTCAAGTTTCATCTGTTAATTTGAGACAATACTGAAATTATTCAACCTCTTTTCCTACATGAATAATTAATTAATAATGTATTTTTTCTTTTCTGTCATTAGTCTACAGTTGTAGTTATTGCTACTCTTGAGGTGAGTATTTTAACGCCAGCATTAACTATTGAAGCCAAATGCATCTGCATGATTAAAGAGCTGCAGTTTAAGGCAATTCTCAGTGAATTTCATTCAGATGATCCATGTTTTGTTTTCAGTAGTTCTCTTTCTGCAAAAAGAGCAATACTTTCTTAAAGTAAAGCAGTGAGAAAAATAAGAAAAATAATACAAATTTAGTCAAATCTGCAAAATGAGCAATCTAGTGTTGGAAGGAGTCAAAGCACTAATGAATCCAAAGAGGGAGGCAATTTACTCACCTGCCAGAACAAACACTAAGAGAAAAACGAAACAAAGGATGAAGAAAGAAAGAAAACGGAGCAGGATGCAAAACACAAGGAACAGAAAATAATTATTTGACAACATCAGCATTAAACATTAAAAGCCCCAATATTTAAAAGCTTTTCAAAGCTTCATGTAATTATGGAAGTTCTGCAGGCACAAAGGACCCAGTTGATCTTTCTATTGACAATAAGAGTATAATTACCTGTGCTGTCCAAGAGCCGTTCAATCCACCACAGACTGCTTCATATTTCAGAATAGCTCTCAGTTTTGTTCATGTTTCTGTCTTTAACATAACCTCCAAAGAATCTGGAGGCATGCCAGTGACTGAGCCTGCTTTTGTTGATCAAGTTATTCATCTTCTCGCTGTCCTTTGCGGTGCAGTGTCCTCCCCTAACAAACACAGTAACGTGGACAAACACACAGGTAGATGGGTTGCCAGGATGTGCCACATGGGTATTGTACATTCCTATATAAGAATGATTTGATGTCCCTGTGCAGCTGATATCCCAGTTAGCTGATAGGTGAGAAACTAAAAATGATGAATGGATTAAGTAGTTTAAATCAGAAAATATTAGGGCAGCTTTAGTAATTTGCTTTTACTAAGCTCACACTATATGGATGCACAGCTTTGTGTCATTTATGTGATGCACCCGCTGGATTTTGTGCACTGAGGGATTTTTGGATTAGGCTATGGAGCAACAAGATGAAAAAAAGACCTGCATGCCCCAAGTGCTGTGTCCACACAGTTGTCCTTCTACTCTGTCAAAACAGGGACTCTGCCAGTCCTGATAAAACTTTGTCTGGGGCGAAGCAATTGGCTGTCGGGTAGAGGCTGCAAACCTTTTGTAATCGTGGCCTTCTCTGCCAACAATCACACCAGGCTGGACATGCTGAGATAGGCACAAAGAAAACTGCATCCCTTGCACAGATCTAGTATTTGCTCAGTTTGGACAATTCACAGAAAAAGACAAAGAGCATTAAGAACTGGCTTCAACCAGGGTTAAATGCTGCTATTCTCAAAGGCCATGCACATTCATTCATGTCTGTGGCTATGTGCCTGATAAAGTATGATGTGTGTGTTCAATTTTGCAGACGCGTGAGGATTGTCGATTAAAAACAAAGGACCGAGTGTGTTCAGGGAAATTGATGGGGTTTGATGAGATGATGAAATCATCACAGTCATTACAGGCTTTATAGGATACATTCAGAGTTAATGGAACAATATAATTGCGATGTTTGAATTACGAAGCATGATTCATCTGACTGTAAAAGATTTTTAGGAATAAGAGAAGGGACCTTGTCTGTCTGGGTTTCCCTCTACAGGTAATGTCTTTGTGGTGAGCTTGGCGTTTGCTGACCTTGTGGTGGCTTTCTACCCCTATCCCCTGGTACTTTATGCTCTTTTCCATGACGGATGGGGACTGGGAAACACACAATGCATGGTAAGAACACACACATCTATCTATCTATCTATCTATCTATCTATCTATCTATCTATCTATCTATCTATCTATCTATCTATCTATCTATCTATCTATCTACCTACCTGCCTGTCTGTAGGTAAATATGAATAGAATATATTACCCCCCCCCCTAACATAAACAACACAAACAACCCCCTCTCTTTCTGTTTCAGGTCAGTGGTTTCCTGATGGGACTGAGTGTTATCGGTTCCATTTTCAACATCACTGGGATCGCGGTCAACAGATACTGCTACATCTGTCACTCATTCTCCTACAGCAAACTGTACAGCTATCGCAACACTTTTATGTTTGTTGCCTTAATTTGGGTGCTCACAGTCGTGGCCATTGTTCCGAATTTATTCGTTGGTTCTCTGCGCTATGACCCGCGCGTCTACTCCTGCACCTTCGCCCAGAATGTCAGCAGCTCTTACACGGTGGCCGTGGTGGTGGTCCACTTTCTGGTCCCCATTGCAGTGGTTACTTTTTGTTATCTACGCATTTGGGTTCTTGTGATTCAGGTAGGTCTGCTGAAAATAGTTGTTTCTGTCTTGAAATTTTGAATTTTTACCGGTCACCTTGACACCAGTTTCAAATGATAGAGAACACCATCCAAAATGCCCTTTTGATTAAGAAAACACTTTCGGGGCAGTTTTTTTAAAGTTTGTTTTCTAATAAAAGACCAATTACTGGATGGAGTCAGGTTTTAAATATCAGAAGACAGCAACAGAATATGTGATCCTCTGAGATAAATCCTTTCTGAAGTACAGCTTTTAGTAATTACTAGAAAGCATAGGTCTAAAACAAATCCTGAAAGCTTAGGAAAATTAGTAAAGTTATTAGCTTTGCCGATACCAGTTTAAGAATCAGATAGGTTAACAAGTTCCTTAAAAGGATTTGATGTCTGGGTTTTTGTTTCTGTGCACTTTCTTATGCAGAAAGGAGGATCAAAATCTAGTCTTAATTTCTATCATGCATCTTCTGCCACGTGCAGGTGCGGCGAAAAGTGAAGACTGAAGAGAGCCCTCGCCTCAGACCAAGTGACTTGCGGAATTTCATCACCATGTTTGTGGTCTTTGTGTTGTTTGCCATCTGCTGGGCCCCACTTAATCTGATAGGCTTAGCGGTGGCAATAGATCCGGCCCATGTGGCTCCCCGCATCCCTGAGTGGCTTTTTGTGGTGAGCTACTTCATGGCCTACTTCAATAGCTGTCTGAATGCCGTCATCTATGGTTTACTTAACAGGAATTTCAGGAATGAGTACAAACGCATCGTCACCTCTGTCTGGGTGACCCGGCTATTTGTGACGGAGACATCAAGAGCCGCCACAGACGGGAGGAGCATGAGGAGCAAGCAGTCATTGCCTCCACCACTGAACAACAACGATTCAGTCAGAGATCGAGTGAACAAAGATTCTTGAACTTGTCAAATGGTCGTTCCTGTTTAATGTGACATCCAGGCAGTTGTGCAGCTAAAGAGTAACAAGTAACAAATGAAACTGAAAAACATGGCTTTGTTTTCTTCTTCACAGATGGGACATGAACTATTATACAACCTATATGTGAGTTGTTGAAGATTTTTTAACTTTTAAAATGGTGATTTTTGCTTTCTTTGAAACTGTGATTTGCACCAACGTTACCAGTAGGGAGAACTGAGCTATGCATTGCAGTTTCATATTGTTATCATTACGCGAGCAATCTGAATGGTACTTTGTTATTACATTTAAAATGTGATATCCTTTAATGTCTGCTGCTGTAGACTCTTAGACATGTTTCACAAAACTGGGTAACCACCACTAGTAAACACACACCTCTCTTTAGTAACTTCAGAAGCCTCAAATAGTTCAACTCGCCTCATCTGAATGCTGTAGATTATTAGTAAAGGAGGAGGAAATATGAGACTGACGGTACATGTAATATCAGAGTTTTATATGGTGGCAGTAACATGGTCAGATTTACACACCTAACCTAAATGCTGCAGTAGCGTACACTTTATACTGCCTAGTCTGACCGTCTTGCACTGAGAAGATCAAGAAACAGAAACTTAGTAATTACCATAGTAAATTCATTCAGGAGGATAGTTATCTTAATGTTGAAATTAATCAAGTCAGAACTAGCACCAAACAATGTAGTGGGTGCTAATGATCAAAGTCTGTTTTTACGTTCCAAGTCATATGCATCTGATGTAGCACGTGGAGGATGCCTACTTGGGTATCACTGCTTTTCCATAAGCCTGTACATCACCAAACTTCCCAGCTGCTGCAGTTTGGCCATTAAGTGACTTTACTGCAATTATTCTTTATAAATATAATTTCTAATTCTAATTTCTAATTTTCCAGCGCCTGACATCACCAGAGGTGGGCATAACCTAGTACATTTACAAGTAAAGTATTTGGGTGAAACTTTATAACTAAACATTTTAATATCAGTCTATTAAGGAGAACCAAACAGTTCCACGATTCTGAAAATGGCAGCTTGGCATTGTAGACACAGATGTTTAATTTTGCTGATCTTTTTCTGATCTTTTTAGATAGAGAGCCAGAGCACTTCCTCCACCGCAGGAGAATGTCCGCGGCGCTGGGCAGGCTTGCTGTGACATTCAGACAAGTGCAGCAGGTGTTCATACACTGATGTCAACAGATCAGACCAAAATCACAAGGCAATAAATATCTTCAGTTTCACCAAATAGCCAAGTGCAGCTGCATGGGGATGATTCTTTATGCACACTAACACTTTGCTATGCAATCGAGAGCAACGTAGGTGTCACAGTTTAAGATATCAGACAGTCGTGTCTGACCATTCTAACCGGTCAAGCAACTCCCATCTCCCTTGGACAGCTGTGTTGTAAGATGACACAGCACAGGACTGATTTATTGTAACAGAATCAAACAATGTTGGTCTCCAGTCTGTAGGAAAACAAAAGAGGTTAAGGATTTTCTAATGCCATCTCAGTTTGGATACATTCAATCCCATCTTCCAAACCCAGACTGGGCTCCTCTGCCATTCTACATCATATGCTACACAATATGCGTTACCTTCATTCTGAGATACTTATGCAAATATTTAGCTTTTAATTTCATAGATAAGCATTTTCCTTAGTAATTAACGAAGTTAATTTATTGTGAAGAAAAATAAAATAGCAGGGACACATTTTTTTATGCTTTCACTGTGGATCTAAAACAAAGAAAAACAAAGAGTGGGTCACTTAGTCGTATTTGATGGGTGAAATTTGTGACATCCATCGTCTCTTCACTGGCGAGTGTTTCAAACAGAGTGGATTGTTGAGCTCATATCTATATTCCCATCTCAGGGTGCCTATGGAACATTTTGTTGTGATACACACTTGTCCTAAACATTTGCTGTTGATGGGCTGCCATATGGGGGAGTCTGAAGACATTTTCAAAGTATATTTTGTAAATTACTGTTAGTGTGTTTTTTAACTGTGGTATATTGTTATTGGAGATGTATTCAAAATGTGCTTTTTATATATTTGAAACTCTATTATCCCACGCAATTAACTGTTTCTTCTTGGATAGTGCTTAACCTCTCTTCCCATATACTGACTATATTCGCAAAGTGCATCTAAAACAAACTCTTGCATATCTGGCACAAAGTTTGCCTCAAAACACTTGTTTTACAGTGTACTATGATGAACTCAGCTTTATATTGCACAACATCCTAGACAAAACAAGCTGTGAATAAAAATCTCCTTCTTGCTTCTTTACCATCTTAATTCATTCTGCAGCACATGTGTGCTCCTAAACAGGGTAGAATGTGCAAAGCCATAGGCCGGGAAGGATGCTGTAACGGAGACAAAGCTCAAAATCACACAGTGGATTTCCACAGGGCAACTGTAAAACCAATGGATATAAAGATAAAATATTTGGAAAATAATAATGGCATTTGTGGTGCAAAAAAAGGCAGAAAAAAGTTTTTTACAGAAAAGACAGGACTAGATAAGAAAATTAGAAGGGTGGATGAGCTAAATGAAAAATTCTGGAGTATGTTTTAGATGCACTTGGAGGAAAAAAAGACTTCAGTTTAAAACCAAAGAAACGTGTACAGGTGAAGGCGTTAAGGTGTACAAACACCTTGTGACGAGGTTGCAAGGGAAATTCTAAAAAAAACACCTTTGCTCCCTTAATGTAATTTTTTTTTCTTTAAAAAAACACTGCCTTACAATCAATACGATAGTGTCAAAGTTGAAAATATGACGGCAAGTGCTAAAGCTTCTACTTGTTATAAGCCCCTTGAGCAAACCTGGTTTGCCTTCATACTGCTTCTTTTTATGTATTCAGGACAATTGTCTTTTGAAGGTATTCTCTGCATTATTGTGCAGAGGTTTGTGTGAAGACCTCAGGCATGAGACACAATTGATGAAAGAGAAGAACAAATATTATCTTTTTTTCTATATGCCCTATAGTGAAATTATGTAACCATGTTCATTTATGTTCCTTTTGTTCTGTCTGCATCCCCTATTTGGATCCATTCCTCCATGTCACCAAATGGCTTGCTTTTCACTGTTTTTTTAACTTGAATGTGATTGACATGTTCATACCTATCAGATACAGTAAAGCACAACCTCACAGCTTTACTTTTTACTGCACTGACCACTCTGTCAGTTGGTGGAACTATCCTGTGATAGTAAATGTGTCCTAGGGTTGGATTGCTGTCCTGGAGAATGTTTACACCAAGAGGGAAAAGTGTAAATGGAGTTTTCCGCAACCAATGAAGTTATCGGCGTGGCTGCACGAAGAGTGTAAATGTATAAAAACTTGTTTTTATATATATATGATTTTATTCCTGCAAGTAAGTTTGAAAAAATAATGATATTCTTAGTAAGGGTGTACATATATTTCTGCTTTTTAAAAAGTACAAACAAACAAGATGTAAAGGCTATGACAGCTAACTTTTCTCCCCGTCAGGACTGTCCTTAAAGAGGTCACACACCCTGTGTCTGCCCATTAAAACTTATTTTACAGTCTCTTGTACCCTCCCCTCAGCTCGCTGCATTCATGCGTGGTTGTCATCTTCTTAAATAATTCCCTGTTAATTTTGACTTTTTATTTGTGTAGCGTGATCAGGGCTTGGGCAAAGGAGTAGTTCTTGGTTTGAACTTTGTTAGACTTGTAAACTTGTTTGCCACCATAAATCCAGAGTTTCCTAATTACACAACACCCTGCTGATCCCCAGATTCTCTATCAGAAGTCTTAATTCAACTAAATTAAATCAATTACTCAGAGACGTTGCTCATCTGTGGTGTGGGACACAGAAAACCATTGCTATTTTTTTTTTATTGTGTGAAGGATAACAATTCAAACATCCTCCACATAAACAACTCCCCCACCCCTGTTATCTGTGATCTTCATGGCACTCCTTTGATGAATCTTGCCCATCTATAGTTTTTATAGGCAGACACGTGATCACCATGTCAGCTGTGACTCATTGCTGTTCATGTCTGTTATTTCAATCCAGACGGACTTGCTATACAGTATGCAGTTTGTTCCCTTTATTCTTTCTTCCTCTGTGAGTGTGGTGTGTGAATGTGTGTGTGTGTGTGTGTGTTTGTGCCACTAACAGATTATTTAACAGCATGACGACACCAGCTGACGACTAAAGAGAGGGCTGTGAATGATCAAATTGCAGCCAACGTACCGTCACCAATATCGAAAGGAACTGATAAGCATCGGGAGCGTAACTGAATGCACCGCTGTCCAAGGAATGGCATGAAAAAGTGAATTACGGTTGTGTATTTACCTCCTGTAGTGTTTACAAAAAAGAAAGTCATCTACAGTACACTATTCCAGGCTGTGAGTACAAACAAACATTTTAAGGGAAAAAGCAGTAAGACATTTGCAAAGCACAAGTGCTTTTCCTCTGATAAATATTAACACTCTGTGGCCACTTACATGTCCACAGCTCATAAGAGCCAGGTAGCACTTTCTGTTTGTCTGCTGCCTGTAATCTTTTAGGCATGAATTTAATCATACCCTTAAAAATCTTTCATAAGATATCACGCTGACCTGATGCTGTTACAGAACATCCATGCTAAAGATGTGGTATTTATAAACAAGTATGTAATTTATTCAGTGTGGCTACGGAGTGTGTATCTTAGTGTCATAAATGGCTTTTGTGGAAAAAAAAAAGAAAATATTTGTAATGCTTTATATATTTCTTTTTTTGTGTGTAAGCAAGCATCAAAACAAACAAGAAAATCAAAATGTTGAAAATTTTAGGCATTTAGCCACTTGACTTCTCGTGTCATGATAAATGTCTTCTGTTCCTGAGGTTGTGTGAATGTGCATGCTTGTCTGATTTTATTTATGACCGATGCTCACTGACAAGAATTCGCTAATGGGGGCAGGCCAGGATGATGCCCAGAGGATGGTCTGAGTAACCAAAGGGAAATCTGTGGAATGTA